TGGAAGGGCGAAAACGGCCTCCCTGGGCTCCAGAGGCCCTCCGGAAGTTGGAAACAGACCCATTTCTGCACTTCTAGAACTTCCGGGAGGGCTCTTTTTCGCCTTCCCCAGAGTCCGGAGGCTTCCCTCAGGCGTCTGGGAGGGCGAAAACGGCCTCCCTGGGCTCCAGAGGCCCTCCGGAAGCTGGAAATAGGCCCATTTCTGCACTTCTAGAACTTCCGGGAGGGCTCTTTTTCGCCTTCCCCAGAGTCCGGAGGCTTCCCTCAGGCGTCTGGAAGTGCGAAAACGGCCTCCCTGGGCTCCAGAGGCCCTCCGGAAGCTGGAAATAGGCCCATTTCTGCACTTCTAGAACTTCCAGGAGGGCTGTTTTTCACCTTCCCCAGAGTCCGGAGGCTTCCCTCAGGCGTCTGGGAAGGCGAATATGGCCTCCCTGGGCTCCAGAGGCCCTCCAGAAGCTGGAAATAGGACCATTTCTGCATTTCTAGAACTTCCGAGAGGGGCATTTTTTGCCCTCCCAGAGCCTTTGCATGGACCCTGCACTTACTTGCATCCAAAATGGGCCGCATGGAGGGTCCTGGGAGGGGAGGGGAGGGGAGGGGAGGGGAGAGGTGGGTGGGGCCAGCCATTTGGTTCAACTACCGGTTCGGCGAACCAGATGGAAGTTTAACGTCCAGTTCTCCCAAACCGGCCCGAACCGACTGAATTCCATCCTTGTCTCTACTGTTGATACTGCGTTGTCCAGTATTGTAAAAGGTGGTAGAATAGTAAGGCTTCTCCTAAAATCATAGACTAAAAACTAACAAAAACAAATTCATAGACTATGAAACCACCTCACAAGATTTTGCTTCATAAAAATCAACGGTGGCTTGTGAAAACAAGCCACCGTTGGAAACCTACCAACTGCAATTTTATTCGCTCCCAATCCCCACACTTTCGCTACTTAAGGGTTACTCCTTACAAGATTTTTTGTTCAGCAGGATGATGGCCAAACTTGGTATGTTAGAAAGAAGTTGGCCAAAGGTCCCGGACTGAAGCTTGGGACTTGGGAGAATCCAATGCAGGAAAACACCCATTAAAAAAAAACACTAAAAATAACATTTTTTTTTTGTCATTTGCTGCTTCAACAACAGACGCTTCTCCTGTCTTATCCTCCCCTCTTCTCAACAATTACACCTAAGGAAAAGATTGACAAGGCAAAAGGATAGTCCCTTAGTGGGCTTTATGACCGAGAGAAGAGCTTTTTAATGCAAAAAGCAGAATTTTATTCTATATCTAATACCGGTGTTGTCATTCATAATTTGGAATTCCTGCCTGAATTACAAGAATTTCTAAGTACACTGCGTGGGTGCAGATGTGGGGAATCCAATTTTGACCTGCTAAACTTTTCTTTTTAAATGTCTTTCTACCAAGAAAAACATTCCTTAATAGCAGTTCTTAATAATCTTCACCTGAAGAACCAGAGGCTTAGTCATGTAAGTTCCCTAGTCAGGAAAAAAAAAAAAAAAAACGGAGCAAAGAACCCTGAATGAAAACATGGGATCAACTGGCTAATTGCCCATGTGTGAACAGATTTCAAAATTCATCCTCAGCCACTCCCATGCTCCTTTGTGACAATAAATACCGATTTACTGAACATACTAGGAAACTAATCTGTTTTTGTTTTGCTTGGAATAGCAGGCAGGGTTATCATAAAAGGAAAAAAAAATATTTTTCACTGCTGGTTTTGCTAGAAGTCAATTCAATTAAAAGGATTGGGTATATACATAATTTTGTATTTATTTATTTATTTCTTCGTGTTCCTGTAGTGTATATTGGAAGTGGTGACACTTGGAGAGATGTATGCAATGAATTTTCATTTTAATGGATGCTGATTAGTGTATATTCAAAGTGACAATAAAAGTTACTGTTCTATTCTATTCTATTCTATTCTATTCTATTGTAATTTTATTCTATTCTATTTTTCTGTGTTCTATTCTCTTTTCTATTCTATTCTCTTTTCTATATCCTATCTTCTGTTCTGTTCTATTTTATTCTATTCTATTCTTCTGTGTTCTATTCTCTTTTCTATTCTATTCTCTTTTCTATTCTTTTCTATTCTATATCCTATCTTCTCTTCTCTTCTCTTCTATTCCTATTCCTATTCTATTCTTCTGTGTTCTATTCTCTTTTCTAGTCTATTCTATTCTCTTTTCTATTCTTTTCTATTCTATATCCTATCTTCTCTTCTCTTCTATTCCTATTCTATTCTTCTGTGTTCTATTCTCTTTTCTAGTCTATTCTATTCTCTTTTCTATTCTTTTCTATTCTATATCCTATCTTCTCTTCTCTTCTATTCCTATTCCTATTCTATTCTTTTGTGTTCTATTCTCTTTTCTAGTCTATTCTATTCTCTTTTCTATTCTTTTCTATTCTATATCCTATCTTCTGTTCTGTTCTATTCTATTCTATTCTATTCTATTCTATTCTATTCTATTCTATTCTATTCTATTCTATTCTATTCTATTCTATTCTTCTGTGTTCTATTCTCTTTTCTAGTCTATTCCATTTTCTATTCTGTTCTATTCTATTCTATTAAAATCAGGATGTGTAGTCTCTCCAAATCCAGACAATGGTATATCAGTACGTCAACAGCATTAGTGAGGGGAAAGAAATTAATTTGCCATTTATCCAGGGGAAAGCAAAATGAAATGAAATGGACAAAGAAGCCTCCGTCCCCAATCAATACCTATTTACTGAATAAACAGCTAGGAAAACTTAACGTTTTCCTTTTTTTTTTAAAAAAAAAAAACCAAACCAAGGGAACCTATCGCTACTGCTAAAAACCTTACAAAGTGCAGATCTAAACTCTTGAATTAAAGCAAACGGGAACATTGTGGAGAGTAAAACCAAGTCATTTTTTTTTATTATTATTAGTAATGCAACAAGAGCGGGCATAAGTGGGCAGCAGCTTTCATCTCTTGGGTCCTTGATGGACTCTAAGTAGCATTAAGCCAGCATCCTTATCAAACAAAATTGCAGCAAAACTGAGATTCTTATCATGCCCCATTTGAGTTCGCCAAGAGGTCAGGAGCAGATCCACCTGAAAGCATCGTTTATCCATTCTTTTCTTCCTTCTTCTTCTTTTTTGCCTCCAGAAAACAAGCAAACAACAATCTATCCTTCCATGTGGTGTACAAAAAAAAAAAAAACCCAGAGCGCTTTAAATGTTTTTCCGAAGCACTGACTTCAGGAAAGAAAAGTTTGCACATTCGAAGCAAAGAAGGGAGTGATTTCAAGCTGCCCTGGGCAGATTTATCATCATAGACCACCGTAGATGTACGGAAAATAACTCCAGCTTTGCTATTATTTTATGAGTACACAATCCTATTCTTTGGGACAGGGTGAAAAACCCTCTTGGGTGTGTTGGTTATGAACGAACCATTTATTCTGCCAGTGGATTTTCGGGTTTGTATCCTGCGTTTTGCTCGATGTTGGATGTGACCAGGCTGAGCCCGGAGGGTGGGGTCAAATGTATCATCAGTTTGGAGTCTCTACACCTCCATAAGAGACCGAAGTCCAGCCTCCTTTGAAGTCCATTGACCTTATCTGGTGCCATTTCTCCTTGACCGTTAATAGTTCGGATTTTTTGTCTGTAGGTTGCATGAAATAAACTTGTAGCACTTTTGAATTCTATCAATCCATCAATCAAAATAGAACTGACAAAGATTTTGGAGGTCTTCTAATCCAACCCCTTGCTCAAGCTGGAGACCCTCTACCATTTCAGACAAGTGGCTGTCCAGTCGCTTCTTAAAAACCTCCTATGATGGAGCAGCCACAACTTCTGGGGGCAAGCAGTTCCCCTGGTTAATTGTCCTTACTGTTAGGAAATGTCTCCTTAATTCCAAGTTGCTTCTCTCCTTGATTAGTTTCCATCCATTGATTCTTGTCCTGCCTTCTGGTGCTTTGGAGAATAAGTTGACCCCCTCTTCTTTGTGGCAGCCCCTCAAATACTGAAATATTGCTATCACATCACCTCTGGTCCTTCTTTTCTCTGGACCATACCCAATTCCTGCAACCATTATTCTTATAGTCATATAGTTCATATAGTTTTTAATCATCTGAGTTGCTCTTCTTTGCACTTTTTCCAAAGTCTCAACATCTTTTTTGTAATGTGGTGACCAAAACTGGTTGCAGTATTCCAGGTGCGGTCTCATTAATCCTGGTCCCTGACTTCTTGATACCTGGTGAAGAATCCACTGGATTCATCCTTGGTTAGGAGGGAGAGCGGAGCAAACTTCTAGCAAGATTGGATTCTCCCACTAGGTTCCACTACTCCTGTCTCCACCAGAAACTCAAGACTCAAAGGAAAGGAAAGGGCCACCATTACTTTTCCAGCTTACCGTGCTCAATTTACTGCAGCAAATGAGAATGCGGCGTTCGTACAGCATGCTCGCATACAAATGCAACATGTTGTTGACATCCACGGCTACAAAATACTCGGTCAGATTTCTCTAGGAAGGAAAAAAAAAAAAGAGAGAGAGGGAAGTTTGTGAAATGGTCTTCCAGCCAAGGGAGGAGTGGCACTCGACAACAGTTACTCTTAAGCTAGCATCTAAGGCAGGATAGAAACCTTAATCAATCAATCAATCAGAATAGACCTAGAATGGAACTTGGGGGTCTTTTAGTCCAACCCCCCACCACCCAAGAGGGAGACCCCATATCATCTCAGACAAATGATTGTCTGGTCTCTTCTTAAAAGCCTCCAGGGATGAAGCGCCCACAACTTCTGGTGGCAAACTGTTCCCCTGGTTAATTGTCCTCCCCGTTAGGAAGTTTCTCCTTAATTCCAGGTTGCGTCTCTCCTTGGTTAGTTTCCATCCATTATTACTTGCCCTGCCTTCTGGTGCTTTGGTAAATAAGTTGACCCCCGCCTCCTCTTTGTGGCAGCCCATCAAATACTGGGATAATGCTATCATGTCTCCCCTAGTTCTCCTTTTCTCTATACTGGCCTAAATAATGGGCTCAAGACCTTGCACCATGGAAAAACCATCTATCGAATCTTAATTCAACCCAAAGGATTGATATTTTATAACCTTCCTTTGAGACTTCCGCAGACTTTCCTGCTAACAAAAACACACTCCCTTCCACGAGGCAGACCGAGTGACCAAGAACTCGAGGGTGCCGGGGATAAGGACCATGGACAGCGTCAACGCCCTCCACGGCTCCTTCTTGGTTTCACTCAAGCCTTACTGGGCAGCGAAGTGGGAGAGCCGCCCAGTAGAAAAGGGGGCTACTAGGAGAATAACATCGACTCCGTTTTAAAATAAACCTGTTCAACTGGCATGCAGTTCCTCCCTCCCCGTGGTTCTTACTCCATCTGTTCTGATTAGCGAGATGTTTGTGTCTAAACAGAAACTGTTTAGAAGTAGTAGCCACTTCCTGCCGCCGTGGTACAGATACGACAGCAGCGTGTGAAGATGACTTGGCAGGCCTCTCCAAGAAAAAAGGCAATCTTCGTGCCACCCAGATGCTAAATTCCAAAGAGAGAGAGATGGGATGGGATCTTGGAGGCTTTCTAGTCCAACCCTGGGGTGGGATTCTACCGGTTCGGATTGGTTCGGGGCAAACCGGAGGTTCAGTTTTCAATCTGGTTTGCCCAAACCGGTATTTCAACCGACCGGCTGGCCCTGCCCACCCCTCCTTGACCCTCCGAGGAGTCTCCACGCTGCCCATTTGCGATGCAGGTAAGGGCAGGGTCCATGCAGAGTCTCTGAAAGGGGGAAAAATGGGCCTTCCAGAAGTCCGGAAACAGGTCTGTTTCCGGCTCCCGGGGGGCCTTCGGAGCCCAGGGGAGACCGTTTTTGCCCTCCCAAAGGCCCGGGGGAGGCCTCCAGACCCTTGGGAAGGTAAAAGACGCCCCCTCCCAGGAGTTCCACCCCCACCACGGCCACGCCCACCCAGCAACTGGGCAGTGAACTGGACCCCATACAATTTGCTGTCCCAAACTCTTGTATGAAGTTATTGGAGATCCAACTAAAACTGACAAGCCAGCCTTCTATTCTGGTCTACAAGCACTTCCATAAATCTTGATTTCTCCTGACTTTTTTCCCCCCCTTATTCCTAATGTATGATTTCTGAAATCCCATATATGGTGACATCATTTACGAAGAGTGACACACACACGCGCATGCGCGCGCACACACACACACAGAGCAGAAACTTACATTTTCGGGAATGCTGGGAAGTTCCCTGATGTCGGGTACCGTAAAGTAAGAGTGCTGGAGGGGAGGGGGAGAGAGAGGGAGAAAGAAAAAACAATGCACCTCAAATTTCCATTTCTTTTGACACATTTACACTCTCTACTACCGTGATTCTCAAACTGGATAACTTAAAGACATGTGGACAACATGTCCCAGAATGCACACCCCATGGATGTCCACACATTGCCAGGGTTAAGGAACACTGATCTACTTGCTTGGGGGAAAAAAAAAAAGAACTAACACACATCACGGATGCCATAAACACAATTGACAATCCAAAATGCCGTGATGCTAAATATCAATCGATCAGAATAGAGCTGGAAGGAACCTTGGAGGTCTTCTAGTCTAACCCCCTGCTCAAGCAGGAGAACCTCTACCATTCCAGACAAATGGCTGTCCAGTCTCTTCTTAAAAACCTCCTGTGATGGAACGTCCACCACTTCTGGTGGAAAGCAGTTCCACTGGTTAATTGTCCTCACCGCTAAGAAGTTTCTCCTTAATTCCAGGTTGCTTCTCTCCTGGATTATCCCCAAAGTGCTTTTTCAAGAGACAGCTGGACTTTCTGTTTTTTGCTTTGAAGATGTTTCGCTTCCCATCTAAGAAGCTTCTTCGGCTCTTCTTCAGAACAACCCTGACCTGGATGGCTGAGACTCTCCATAGACCAGGGGTGTCAAACTCAAGGCCCATGGGCTAATTTCAGCCACTCCCCCCACCCCCCAAGGTCGACCACATGACTGTCTGGTCTCTTCTTTAAAAAAAAATCCAATGATGAAGCCCTCACAACTTCTTGTGGCAAGCCATTCCACTGGTTAATTGTCCTCAGTGTTAGGGGAAATTTCTCCTTAATTCCAGGTTCCATCTCTCATTGATGAGCTTCCATCCATTGTTTCTTGTTTCTCTGGTGCTTTGGAAAATAAGCTGACCCCCCTCCCCTATGTGGAACCCCTGAAATACTGGAAGACTGCCATCATGTCCCCCCTACTTTTCTCTACCGCGGCCATACCCAATTATTTTATAAAATCCATACCCAGTTATACAAGGTATGGATTTGTTATCAGCCCAAATGCTTTCAGGCTTCGTCTTGTTTCAAATCGTGGAGATTCCAGGACAGATCCTTCTTGGCACATCCCAAGGCCAACGTGGAAGTTAAGAGTGGAGAAATATCACTTCTGCTCTTGGGACTTTTGTGGTTGTCCCCAAGCCAAGGACTGAAGAGCTGCACCCTACTCCAAACAAAAACCTCCAGGCTTTCCCCATTTTAGGAAATGCTCACCACGCTGAGATAAACCGAAGAAGCTGGCTCAGGAATCGGTAGTTTATACAGTGTCTGCAGAAGTTCACATCTTTGGTTGTCCTGAAACGAAGAAGAAGAAGAAGAAGTGAGGTGGTCTTGGTGAGGTGGTTGTGTTCATTGGGAGAGAAACATCTGTTTCCTTCTCTCGCTTGTTTAGGAGAGGCCCAAAAAAAAAATCTTAGTTTTTTTTCTTTGTGTCAACCCCATCAAGGTCGAGAAAAGAGATCCATCTTACTTCTGTCAACAATGGAACCCCTATTTTTTTTCCCCACTGGGAAAATGACCACCTATCAAGGCAGAGGTCTTCCAACTTGACAGCTTTAAGACTTGTGGACTTCAACTCCCAGAATTCCTCCTCCGGTCATGTTGGTGCTTTGGAATTCTGGGATTCTGGGAGTTGAAGTCCACAAGTCTTAAACTTGCCAAGTTTGAGGACCCTTGTGATAGATGATAGATAGATGATAGATTGATTGATAGATTGGTAAATAGGTAGGTACAGAGAGAGGGGGGGGAGAGAGAGGGAGATATGATAGATAGATAGATAGATAGATAGATAGATAGATAGATAGATAGATAGATAGATA